TTTCCACGAACTCGCATAGCTCTGGAACAGTTGCCCCGAAATCAATCCATTTCACAATGTAATTATGCACATCACAATAGTCTCCGTGTGCAATAATTGCTATTCTGATTCCTGGAATATCGGCCTGAAGTCGTTGAACCATGTCTTTGATTCTTCCACGAACTTCCTCTAGACAGCCGTACATAGATCCGGTGGTATCAAATGAAATGGCGATCTCTAGGAGACCACCGGGTGGTAGTGGTGGAGTTGTGGAGTTGTGGTGGAATTGCTGCTGGTATTCACATCAGGGATACTGGACTTCCGTTTGGAAAGTGATGTTTTCGTCAGAGATGGTTCTTTCACGAGAGATGATTTCCTCTTCGACAAGGAACTCTTCACTGATGAAGTGGTCTCCATTAGATCTTTTAACTCAGAAACAGACTTACGTAATGTATCAACTGCTGCTGATGTTTTACTTCCACTTGCTTTTTTAGAAAGCGAAGGGGAAACCTGTATGACATCGCAATCCTTTCCAAGGGAAGCTGATTTCAAACTCGCTGTTTTACCGACACTGGAGCCAGAATTAAGAGCGACTACGGATGAATAGATTCCGGATCCTTCGGATACCAGCGTCGCTTTCCGTTTAAGTGAGGAGACAGATGAGGATAATTTTGAGGTACTGCGCCTCGCGGACCTTGATGAACTGAGAGGGGACGACTCGTCTGATGATTCTAGAGTCAGAGTGTTGTCCCGTCGAAGACTTGGTTTCTTTGCCATACTGACCTCTGTACTTTTTCTCTTTATAGGTGGCATCTTAAAGAGATAATTATTAGGATATTGAGAGATGTTAAATATCAAAATTTTATTAACTGTCAGTTTTGAGCAATAGATTAATTGTTTTCAAATAATAAATTCATATCTCATGTAAATGAACAGGTTTTTTTTCTGTGACCTTTTTCTCACCGACCTAATTTTGAACTGAAGCTCACGTGGTTGATTGTAAGGTGAAAAGTAATTGATTTTAAGATTTGAATTCAAAAATAAATGCGGTACATTTCGAAACTATAAAACGGTACTGTAGTGCAATCCTATAACCGGAAACAATTTTATCTCAATAGACAACAAAACCATTTATAAACATCATCCCAGTTATACTTGCAGCAGGTATCACAATGAGTGTTTACGCAGATATTACACATTATACCAGAATATCATATCATTTTCGACATCATTAAAAACTACAAAACAGCTTAATAGAATTCATATCTACATTGTAAGAAATAATAAACTTAAACACCGAAATCTAACTTAGCTTTGACTATTGTTTTACTAATTGATCTTAGCGTAAATCTAAACCTTCTGGAAGCATATGAAGAAGGGGAGATAAAAATAATGGTGATTACTGCTTTGCGTGGACAGTTAGTCCCAACACCAGTGTACTTATCAATTTTCGAAAATAATTTTCTACTGTGAATTTTGACAGGCACGCTGATGTAAAATAATTATGTATTTCAGATTTCCCAAAAATTGTAAAGCTTATAGATTAATTGAAAAATCTGTAGGGTTAAAATTGACCCGAAGTTTGTGGTTACTGATTCATTCACTAACAAAAATTAGCAAATCCAATTGGCGAGTGCTCTTGGGCCAAGGATCACCTTTAATGACGTAGCGAAAATATTCATATAGATAACATGAACTAACAAGTATATTGCTGTTGTCAATCACCCGGCTGTAGTCTAACATTTATAATTTAGATCGTTTAAACATGTTATTGTTTACACTGTTAGGAAAGTGAGTATGCGTACTACATTAAGATAAAACCGTGTAACAGTGTCAATCTGATAGCAAATTCAGTGTTATTACTCACCTTGATGTTTAAAAGATCTGTATAATTTATATATATACCGACGCAGGACGGGGAAATACCTTAATAATAAACCTACCGCATGCGCATTGAACAGGAATCCAGGACAAGTTAATTCGTGTTTTGCACCCCGATTTAACTAGATACCTGTGTCAGCATTTTCGTTTATATAAATATAACTTCCGATTGTGCAATACCATGTGTGTAGCCTTGCGCATTCAGACACCGGGCAGTAAATGACGATATTTAAATCATATCAATATTGTTGTGTGTATGTACGCTGTTAAAGGCAGGTATACTAAACAGTTTTCAGTGGGAAGAACTTCCTGACAGGCAACGTAATCAATAGAGCACATATACTCGCTAATACAAAATGTACAAACATAAAACCACACCTATTACTCTCTCATTACATATCGACAGACAGTAACAGCTACAAATAGAAAAATCACATTCGACATCCCCATTTACCCACCCACTTCAACATATGTCTTTACCCTCCCCATTCAATATGTGTCTTTACCCTCCCTATTAAACATATGTCTTTACCCTCCCTATTCAACATACCTCTTTACCCTCCCCATTCAACATATCTCTTTACCCTCCCTATTCAACATACCTCTTTACCCTCCCTATTCATCATACCTCTATACCCTCCCTATTCATCATACCTCATTACCCTCCCTATTCATCATACCTCTTTAAACTGCCTATCCACCATACTTTTTCTCCTTCCCTATTTATCATACTTCTTTACCCTCCCTATTCAACATATGTCTTTATCCTCCCTATCCGTCATACATATTTACAGCCCCTATATATCACACCTACTTACCTCCCCATTTATCATGCCTCTTTACCTTTTTATCATGCTTCGTTATCCTCCCTATCTTATATATGCATTTTCACTCCCTATTCAACATACTTCTTTTCCCTCCTTATTCAACATACGTATTTACATTCCCTGTTCAACATACCCATTTACCCTCCCGATTTAACAAACGTACTCACAATTGTACAATATACACAGTAGTAGCCAGCACATTTCAATACAAATTTACAATTAGATGCAGATGTGCTAAATGATGAACGAAATTACATTATACGACTGTTTCATTCTTCTATGACTCTTCGGCATATTCTTTAAAAACTTATAGGCTACAGAAGAAAATTAAAATTGATAGGGAAAAAATGTCGAATTCTAAATCAAATTATAAGTTGCACTAGCCCAATAATTTAATCAATTAGATAATTTTCATACATCCGAAATTTATTCTGAACAGTGCCACTATTCGAATGAAATCAATCAAAAAATATTTCCTGGAAAATGATTTGAAAAAATACTTTTATGGAGAGAAAAACATGAATCTCAAACACGTTTCAATAATTTAGCTTTGATAGATATTTTTTAGATTTTATGTTGTATTTTTACCCAATTATCAATGTTTAAATAGCATTTTTTCATACTCGCATATAACTTAAAATGTTCCTGTCAGTGCTTGTTATTGTTTTCAAAAATTATGTATCATTTTGTGTGGATTCTGATTGTCACGAATTCTGCATCCTTGACAGATATTTTTTCAGGAAACGTTTTGCCTTCATTGTAAGAAACCAAAACCACAGTTTTTCAACACGTTAGACAGTAGAAGTTGTGTGTGTAAACAGTAGTAGTTGTGTATGTAAATAGTAGTTGTGTGTGTAAATAGTAGTAGTTGTGTGTGTAAACAGTAGTTGTGTATGTAAATAGTAGTAGTTGTGTGTGTAAATAGTAGTAGTAGTTGTGTGTGTAAACAGCAGTAGTTGTGTATGTAAATAGTAGTAGTTGTGTGTGTAAACAGTAGTAGTTGTGTGTGTGTGTGTGTGTGTGTGTGTGTGTGTAAACAGTCGCAGTAGATTAAATAGTCCAAACAGACCCATTACAAGGAGGCGTGCTGCCTTCGACTCCTCTATCAAGTGGACAGAGCTTGTTTTATCATTTTTATTGAAGAATGAAACGTTTAATTAAAGTTGTTCAAATATGTATTTTAGTGATGTAAGGATACAAGAGCGAAAACCTATTAGCTGGCACCAAATAATTGGAAATGTCCCGGTGGCTGATTTACCAATTTTTTTGTATACGACCAGATTGTTTAAACAGAAAAGGATTGATGTATCATTGATGTGGTAGAAAACATATTCGTATCGCAAGAAATGTTCACATTAGCTTTTTGATAGCAAGAAGTTAGTAAAAACTTAATTGAAAACGAATAGTTTCTTTCTTATTTCATTGGGAAATCATTATCTGAAAGAAAATAGAATAAAACCTTAACTTTACATGAACAATAAAAAACATTTATTTCTATACTAAGATAAAACAATACACTATAAAACACAATATGTCTGCATTACCATCCTTTACACATACATAATATATATATATATATATATATATAACAATAATAAAAGAAAATAAATAAAGACCATTTATGTCATAAAACAGGAATCGATGTTTTGTAATATTTACCTGACATGTAACAATGGCTTTATGTATTCAGACAAATGTTCAAAATTTGAACTTGTAGCCAAATCAAAGTTAATCGCCAAGTGGCTGCTGAATAACTAAATTAAAGAAACTAAACGTTCTGATAAAAAATTATAATAGATGGAGCGATCTTGTAGTCCCGGGTCCAAAACTTATAAACGTTGACGGATTCACTTCAAATTTCAATTGGTAAAGTAAAAGGTGTAAACGTGATGTCCATTATTGTACGGAAAAGTTAGCACGTGGCGTGTTTGTTTCAAAAGGAGGATACAAATATATTAAGCATAAATGTCAAAGAAAATAACTATTAACTTCTTATATCAGAAAACCACAATACATGATGTTAATTTCTCTTCAGTTTTAAAAACAAGAGCATAATGGATATGGAGGCATATAAACCTATGACAATAACGTCAAACTGGTGTTTTATTGCTGCCATTTGTCTCCTTGCTGACGGATGACGATCAGTATGAATCGCTGGAAATCCGAACTCCACATCGCTTGAGATTCCGGAATTTCATCTTTCTGTCTCTATGTCCTACCCATGCGTAGTCATACTTTTTAAACATCAACTGTGACACTTTCTGAATGAATGTAGATCTGTTCGTTTTAAACTGGCCTTTCCTCACCATGACGTCAGCGTGAGTATTCACCACATCTTTGATGACGTTGCGAACCCTTTTCTGTGAGAGGAGATAGTTTAACCAATTACTGCCCTTGGGTACTCCTGTGGTTACCTTGTAGAACACTGGGTACAGTTTCTTCTTTCCAGACAAACGAACAGCAAACTCATACACTGCAGGAATGCCATTCACATCGTCCGCTGTAAGTATACCTTTGTTACAAAAGGCGTCACACCAATCGCGGTGAGTGAAGCTGATGTCATGTCCGTCAGCTTTCGCAAACTGGGTTTTGGAAATCCCCAACATCCATTTTGACCATACCAGTCGCTTCAGAGGTCCTTTTGTAAATTTCGCGTGTGTAAGACTTTCCCTGTTGAATCGTCCTCCAGACTTTCCTCTACTTTTTCTTTCCTGTAAAACAATTTCAAAATCACCATTCCAGTTTTTCCCTGGGCCTTATTTAGATAATAGAAATCACTGATTTTTCAAACCGAAGTTTTCTTAAGCTACGTATTTTTTTTTCTTTTTATCTGTTTTTTTTTTATCAAGTACCCCTAAATATAATCATTATGGTTTATCTATATTTAGGGTAAAGACAATTTTTTAGATTCTTACCTTTGTCTTTTTTGTAATTTTAGTTTGTTTCTTTGTAGTTTTATTTTTCTTGGCAGTTTTTATCTTATGGGTCGTTGGTTTTCCCAGTGAAAACATTCCAGCCGTTCCCGTTGGAAGAGTCAATGGTTTGAATGCTGGCAGTCCGGTCCCTATGTGTGATGCTGGGGCTAATCCGAAGCTACTTTTCTTACCCCCGAGAGAGGTAAACATTCCCTCAAGCGCTGTGTCCATTGTCTTGTGTTTGTTTCTTTCCCTCACTTCTGCTTCATAAGCCTGTAAAATAGTTATGATAGTATTACCTTCTTTTCATATTAATATATAGCTCAAATACTATTTATTTTAGCAGCATAAATATCTTAACCTGAATTGCCAATGCAGTAGGTTTTCAAACGGTATCAACAGCTTAATTAAAAATGGTTATCTAAAATCTATTAATTGGTCAACAATGGTGAATGATGATCAATGATGTGCCTACCTCAAACAAGTCTGGTCCTCCTTCCTTGTAACAAATAGACATCAGAATGTCAAACAGAATTCCGAAACTAGCAAGAGGGATTGTTTTTCCACCTGTCTTATTTGCTATCACATTATAAAAAAGTAGCGGTATGGCGTTGACACAAACACTGTATATCTTGACACCCTGAAATAAATTAAAGTTTTATCTTATTATTACTGGACAAACATTCAAACTTCAAAACTAAACCCATTATTTTTTTTGATAAAGAATGTTCAAACTGAAGTACTGTACTAACAAAATACTAACGCATGATGCTTTATTTACATATATAAGTATACAACAAAAGGCTATATATCATTGATCATTTATTAAAGGACAATTACCATTTTGTTTAGTTCTTGAGCCTCCACACGCCAATCTATGTCGTTCACAAAACCGTTATATGAATACCCAACTTCATGAGGTGCACAATCCCCTATTACAACTAGAGAGCGTTGGCTTCCTGGTGTCCATGATAATACCTCCCTTGCCCTTCGAAGCACGAGTTCGTAACATTCGTCCGCATCTCCACCGCAGGTGCGCGAAACTGTTTCCACGAACTCGCATAGCTCTGGAACAGTTGCCCCGAAATCAATCCATTTCACAATGTAATTATCCACATCACAATAGTCTCCGTGTGCAATAATTGCTATTCTGATTCCTGGAATATCGGCCTGAAGTCGTTGAACCATGTCTTTGATTCTTCCACGAACTTCCTCTAGACAGCCGTACATAGATCCAGTGGTATCAAATGAAATGGCGATCTCTAGGAGACCACCGGGTGGTAGTGGTGGAGTTGTGGTGGAATTGCTACTGGTATTCACATCAGGGATACTGGACTTCCGTTTGGAAAGTGATGTTTTCGTCAGAGATGGTTCTTTCACAAGAGATGATTTTCTCTTCGACAAGGAACTCTTCACTGATGAAGTGGTCTCCATTAGATCTTTTAACTCAGAAACAGACTTACGTAATGTATCAACTGCTGCTGATGTTTTACTTCCACTTGCTTTTTTAGAAAGCGAAGGGGAAACAGGTATGACATCGCAACCCTTTCCAACGGAAGCTGATTTCAAACTCGCTGTTTTACCGACACTGGAGCCAGAATTAAGAGCGACTACGGATGAATAGATTCCGGATCCTTCGGATACCAGCGTCGCTTTCCGTTTAAGTGTGGAGACAGATGAGGATAATTTTGAGGTACTGCGTCTCACGGACCTCGAGGAACTAAGAGGGGACGAGTCGTCTGATGATTCTAGAGTCAGAGTGTTGTCCCGTCGAAGACTTGGTTTCTTTGCCATACTGACCTCTGTACTTTTTCTCTTGATAGCTGGCATCTTAAAGAGATAATTATCAGGACATTAACAGATGTTAAATATCAACATTTTATTAACTGTCAGTTTTGAGCAACAGATTAATTGTTTTCAAACAATCAAATTATATCTCATGTCAATGAACAGGTTTTTTTTTCTGTGACCTTTTTCTCACCGACCTAATTTTACGTGTAATGTGAAAAGTAATTGATTTTAAGATTTGAATTCAAAAATAAATGCGGTACATTTCGAAACTATAAAACAGTACTGTAGTGCAATCCTATAACCGGAAACAATTTTATCTCAATAGACAACAAAACCATTTATAAACATCATCCCAGTTATACTTGCAGCAGGTATCACAATGAGTGTTTACGCAGATATTACACATTATACTAGAATACCATATCATTATCGACATCATTACAAACTACAAAACAGGTTAATATAATTCAAATCTACATTGTAAGAAATAATAAACTTAAACACCGAAATCTAACTTAGCTTTGTCTATTGTTTTACTAATTGCTCTTAGCGTAAATCTAAACCTTCTGGAAGCTTATGAAGAAATGGAGATAAAAATAATGGTGATTACTGGTTAGCTTGTACAGTTAGTTCATATAATTGAATGGTGATGGGATATAAAAACAGAATCAATAATTCATTTTAAATCATGTCGATGAAAATTACATTCAAATAAACAGAAAGAGTTCTAACACCGGTGTACTTATCAATTTTCGAAAATAATTTTCTACTGTGAATTTTGACAGGCACGCTGATGTAAAATAATTATGTATTTCAGATTTCCCAAAAATTGTAAAGCTTATAGATTAATTGAAAAATCTGTAGGGTTAAAATTGACCCGAAGTTTGTGGTTACTGATTCATTCATTAAGCAAAAATTAGCATATCCAATTGGCGAGTGTTCTGGGTCCAAGGATCACCTTTAATGACGTAGCGCTGTAGCGAAAATATTCATATAGATAACATGAACTAACAACAAGTATATTGCTGTTGTCAATCACCCGGCTGTAGTCTAACATTTATAATTTAGATCGTGTAAACATGTTATTGTTTACATTGTTAGAAAAGTGAGTATGCGTACTACATTAAGATAAAACGGTGTAACAGTGTCAATCTGATAGCAAATTCAGTGTTATTACTCACCTTGATGTTTAAAAGATCTGTATTGACTGAAGTCTGAGCTGCACTGGTAATTTATATATATACCGGCGCGAGACGTTCTTATTGGTTCAATCTGGGGAAATACTTTAATAATAACCCTACCGCATGCGCATTGGACCAGGAATCCCGGACAAGTTAATTCGTGTTCTCCACCCCAATTGGACTTGATACCTGTGTCAGCATTTTCGTTTATATAAATATAACTTCCGGTTGTGCAATACCATGTGTGTTTACCTTGCGCAGTCAGACACCAGGCAGTAAATGACGATATTTAAATCATATCAACATTGTTATGTGTATGTTAAGGGCAAGTATACGTAACAGTTTTCAGTGGGAAGAAACTCCTGACAGGCAACGTAATCAATAGAACACATATATTCGCTAATACAAAATGTACAAACATAAAAACACACATATTACTCTCTCATTACATATCTACAGACAGTAACATCTACAAATAGAAAAATCACATTCGACATCCCCATTTACCCACCCATGCACTTGAACATATTTCTTTACCCTCCCCATTCAACATATTTCTTTACCTTCCCCATTCAACATATGTCCTTCCCCTCCCTATTCATCATACCTCTTTACCCTCCCTATTCAACATTCCTCTTTACCCTCCCCATTCAACATATGTCTTTACCCTCCCTATTCATCATATCCCTTTACCCTCCCCATTCAACATATGTCTTTACCCTCCCTATTCATCATACCTCTTTAAACTGCCTATTCATCATACCTCTTTACCCTCCCTATTCATCATACCTCTTTACCCTCCCTATTCATCATACCTCTTTAAACTGCCTATCCACCATACCTTTTCTCTTTCCCTATTCATCATACCTCTTTACCCTCCCTATTCACCATACATATTTACAGCCCCTATACTTCACACCTACTTACCTCCCCATTTATCATGCCTCTTTACCTTTTTATCATACCTCTTTATCCTCCCTATCTAATATATACATTTTTCACTCCCTATTCAACATACTTACTCTCCCTCCTTATTCAACATACGTATCTACATTCCCTGTTCAACATACCCACTTATCCTCCCGATTTATCAAATCACAATTGTACAATATACACAGTAGTGAACAGCACATTTCAATAGAAAGTTACGATTAGATGCAGGTGCGCTAAATGATGAATAAAACTACATCATATAGTTGTTTCTTTCCTCTATGACTCTTCGGCATAGTTTTTAAAACTTCAAAATTAATAGAAAGAAATGTCAAAATCTTAATCAAATATTAAGTTGCACTAGCCCAATAATTTAATCAATCAGATAATTAGATAGTTTATTCTAAACAGTGCCACTATTCGAATGAATTGAATAAAAAAAAAACATTGCTGGAAATTTTTTGGAAAAATGAGAGAGAAAAAAACATGAATCTCAAACACATTTCTTTAATTCAGCTATGATTAATATACCTGCATATAACTAAAATAATCCTGTCAGAGCTTCTAATCGTTTTCAAAATACTTTTAAAAAATCATGCATCATTTTATGTGGATTCTGATTGTCACGCATTCTGCATCCTTAAAAGATCTTGTTTCATGAAACGTTTGCTTTCATTATAAGAAACCAACAGTACTTCAACATTCAACACGTTCGGAACATTTTGACATGGCCTTTCCGATGTCCCGTTTGAATTCGAAAGTGATAGCACATCATCCAATTGTGCAAGTTCCATTAAATCTATGGTCGCTAGCTTCTCATCTAATTAACCATTTAACAATCATTTTTGGGAAGTCCATTCTGTGGTCATAAATTTTCTTTTGGTAATGATATATTGCATACTCAAGGTGCAAAGTTGGTGAAAATATCAGATAAATCTTAAAAAATAAGACAAATCCATTATCACAGATGGTGAAGGTTTTACAGATAATTTTGAGGTGCTGTACATCATAGACATGCCCCATGCCAGTTCCTTTAGCTCCACTTCGTCTATGATGTACAGCATGTATATTCAGCTATGTATATTCAGCTATCAAAAATGTTTTGTAGAAATCTCGGTATGCTCAGTGGCAACCGTACACACCGTACCGAGATTTCTATAAAACAATTTGGATATGTTTTAACCGCCATTTTTCATAAAACAAAATTTCCCCTTATATCGGCTGAGGGAATTAACAAAGTACCTCAGTACACACTACCGTTCTCGGTTTTAGTTAATTACCTTGTATTTGTTTTTTTTTTTCGGTTTCTGTGATGTACTTGATGTTGTATCCAGTACCAATATTGGACCATGCCGTCGATATTACTTTTCACGATTCTATACAATGCATGAGTGTTTAAAGATTGCAATTGAAAATGTCAGTACTTCTGCTCTACTTACGCCAAGTTCATCATACCTCTTTACCATCCCTATTTACCCTATCTTTTTATCATACCTATTTACCCTACCTTTTTATCATGCCTCCTTATCCTACCTTTCTATCATACCTCCTTACCCTACCTTTCTATCATACCTCCTTACCCTACCTTTTTATCATACCTCCTTACCCTACCTTTTTAGCATACCACTTTACCATCCCTATTTATCGTACCTCTGTACCCTCTCTATTTAGCATACCTCTTCAACTGCCCTATTCACCATACCAATCTATCTTCCCTATCCATCATACCTATTTACCCTCCCTATTCATCATACCTATTTACCCTCCCTATTCATCATACCTCTTTACCCTCCCTATTCATCATACATATTTACCCTCCCTATTCATCATACCTCTTTACCCTCCCTATTCCTCATACCTATTTACCCTCCCTATTCATCATACCTCTTAACCCTCCCTTTTCATCACACCTCTTTACCCTCCCTATTCATTATACCTCTTTAAACTGCCTATTCATCATACCTCTTTACCCTCCCTATTCATCATACCTCTTTAAACTTCCTATTCACCATACCTCATCTCCTTCCCTATTCATCATACCTATTTTCCTTCCCATTCATCATACCTCTTTACCAAAAGTATCCATCATATCTATTTACCCTCCCGTTTATCATACCTCTATTTCCCTCCTATTTACCTTACCTATTTTCCTTCCCATTCATCATACCTCTTTGCCATACCTCTTCTCCTTCCTTATTCAGTATACCAATTGATCTTCCCTATTCATCTTACCTCGTTACCCTTCCTATCTATCATACCTGTGTAACCTCTGTATGCATCAATTATTTTCCCTATGTATTCCTCATCGCTGTACCCTCTCTATTCATCATACCTCTTCCCTATTCAACATACTTATTTTCCCTCCCCATTCATTATACCTCTTTGCCTTCCCAATTCATCATAAATACTTACCCTAACTATTCACCATACCTCTTCTCCTTCCCTATTCACCATACCTATTTATCTACCCTATTCATCATACCTCTTTACCCTGCCTATTCACCATACCTCTTCTCCTTCCCTAATCACCATATCTGTTTATCTACCCTATTTATACCCCTTTACCCTACCTATTCACCATACCTCTTCTCCTTCCCTAATCACCATACCTGTTTATCTACCCTATTTATACCCCTTTACCCTACCTATTCACCATACCTCTCCTCCTTCCCTAATCACCATACCTGTTTATCTACCCTATTTATACCTCTTTACCCTACATTTTTTCCTTCCCTTATCACCATACCTATTTATTTACCCTATTTATAACTCTTTTCCCTACCTTTTCACCATACCTCTCCTTCCCTAATCACCATACCTATTTATCTACCCTATTCATCATTCTTATTTACCCTCCCTATGTGCCTTCTATATCCTTCCTTTTTCTCTAGAACCTATACCGTACACCAAACGTCACTTTTAGCAAAA